AGCACTAATATATATATATATATATATATATATATATATATATATGACTTACATATAGCATTGGATAATTGATATATTAGATATGAAGTAGGTAAAAAGTTACGGTAAGAATATCAATTTTATGCTTTGTCATATTTGTACTAAAATAACTAAAACTGATATAATAAAAAATTAGACATTTATAAAATACTACTAATAATAAAAATTACAAAAACTACTAAAGTACTAAAACTGTCAATAAAATTAAAATAAAAGAGAAAATATAAACAAAATATATTATATATTTTAAAAAAATTATATATTAGATCTAAAAAAAATTCAGATGTAAAATTAAAAAAAAAAATCTGTTCTATATTTTGTAATTTGTACTAAAATGACTAAAACCAAAATTGTAATAAAAAATTTATAGAAACTATATAGACATTTAAAAAATAATAAAAACTAATACAAATAACTAAAACAGAAATTAAATGAATAAAAGCTTAATAGACATAAAAAAACATAAACATGACAAAAACAACAACTTAAAAAAATGACTAAAACTCACTAAAATTACAATGAAACAAAAAAAATCTAATTCAAAATAATAACAAAATTTATAATGGTTAAAGATCACACTTGAGGGGAATCATTTTGCGCAAATTTGTCTCGGTGTTTATTTATGCTCACTGTTTTTATCATCAGAGTCTTCAGTGTGTGTAATATATGGGCTATTTCTGAATATCAGGGCTCGCTGACGGACTATCTGAAGGGGAGCGTGCTGAGCTGGACGGATCTGTGTCACATCGCGGAGACGATGGCCTGCGGTCTGGCGTATCTTCACGAGGACATGCCTCGCTGTAAAGGAGAAGGTCCTAAACCGGCCATCGCTCACAGGTGAGTTTAACACCCCACGTCTGCCGCTGAGACCAAGTTGATCTTACAGAGATAACCGCAGACCAGGGCAGCAGCGATTTACGGTTTGACGATAAATCATGATAAAATTCCCCACGGTTAGTATTACCATTTCATCCCACGTGAAAAAATACTATAGTGTTTTTGAACCATACTATAGTAGAGTACTTGAATTAATGTGTTGTGGTAATTCTATAGTTGCTATGGTAATATAACATATATAGTAATATAAACAAATTACCCAATACTGTAGCTAACTATAGGGTATATTATACTACAATACACTACAGTTTACTGTAGTAAAAACTAAAGTATACTACAGTATTTATTATAGCTTATCAGTTCACTATAGTTAATACTACAGTATGCTGTAGCATTCATTAACAAAGTGTTGTAAATACTATAATATATACAGAATAATACACTTTACTATATTTTGGTTCAAAAACACTATTTACTATAAATTACTGTAGTATTTTTTTCATGTGGGATATTTTAATTATCATTAAAACCGTATTCGATTACCGCGATTTGAACAATTGAGGATAAATAAATACTGTCCAGCATAAAGCAGAGTTTTAAGAACCGTCTCACACAGTAGTTTCGTTTTGTGTGAAAACATGGAGGGAAGCTGGGAGGTTTTAAAGGGAATTATACAAATTAATTAATTATATGAATGTACCTCTGAAAGCTGACTCTTCAGAAAAGTTTCGATGGCATTTTGTTTTTATCTTCGCTCCATGTAAAACCTAATAAAGTAGTGTTTTGATCGCAACGCTGGAGGTTATGAGAAACCGCTGTAATTCTGCTGCTCCAGAAGCGCCACCTGCTGTCAGAGAGTGGATTTACAGAGACTTACATCTACACTCAGCTTGTGTGCAGCTTCTGTCTGGACTAAAAACAGAGTTCATTTGCATGCATTTTGACCGGTTGATGAAAAACAAGCTCAGGTGGATTCTACACATTTAAACAATTCAGATAAGTGATCTAGAATTATTTATGGAGCAGATAAAATACATATAATCAGCTATCATTTCGACTTAACCCTTTTCTTTATTTAAAGGCTGAAATGTGAGGTTTACCATTTTATGAAATTTATGAAATTTTATGAAATTTGAAAGTTTTATATAAACATTTTGTACATGCTATTAGATAAACTGTTGTCAGTCATGTTGTCATTTAAAATCCGGACATCATTGGTGATGTTTATATAACAAAAATTTATTTTATTTGTTGTTTGTTGATTTTAAATATAAAACGGTGAAACGATTTCAGCATTTACCAATGCATTATTAAAATCAAAAGTTGTGCTTGTTAACATTAGTTAATGCACTGAACTAACTTGAACAAACAATGAATGACTGTATTTTCATTACCTAACATTAACAAAGATGAATAAATACTGTAATGTATTGTTCATTGTTCAGTTATGTTATTTAATACATTAAACTAAAGGCCTTTTCACACTGAGTGCGAAAATTCGGCGCGATGGCGCTTTTGTAACAATAAAGCATGTTTATGACAATAAGCAGTGTGGTGTTATTAAACATACAAACAGTGCATGTCTGGCTATCATAGAATCAACTATAGATCACAATCGGAAGTTATTACAAGCACTCGATGATGTTTAAAGTGGGTTTTAAGCAAATACATTAATAATTACATAAATGTTCAAATGTGGCATAATGCTAATTGTACTTCTATTTATATTTTAAGATGTTTTCTTGTAAGCATTATAGATAGTTTGTGTTTCTGGTGTAGAACCAAACTTTATGCATCTTAATTTAAATGCTGTATATTGAGCAGCAGACCATATTCAAGATGCATATCTGAGGAAAAATGCATTGTTGGTCGGCACCACCTAGGTGATCAGGTGATAGGATAATATTTGGCTGAGATACAACTATTTGAAAATCTGGAATCTGAGGGTGCAGAAAAATCTAAATAATGAGAAAATCACAATAAAATGCCATTATTACAGCTTTAACTGAGGGTGCTATTGATTTTGCTATTGATTATTGAAACGCGTCCGTCCGCAGAGACTTCAAGAGCAAGAACGTGATGCTGAAGGCGGATCTGTCGGCGGTGCTGGGGGACTTGGGGCTGGCGGTGCGCTTCGAGCCGGGGAAGCCTCCAGGAGACACACACGGTCAGGTCGGGACGTGGCGCTACATGGCTCCGGAGGTGCTGGAGGGGGCCATTAACTTCCAGCGGGACGCCTTCCTGCGGATAGACATGTACGCCGTGGGGCTGGTGCTGTGGGAGCTGGTGTCGCGCTGCAAAGCTGCAGACGGTGAGAGTCAGATGCTTCAGATTGTTCTCCTTTGCTGCGCCCCAATTCGCCTACTTATACTATGCCCTAAAAGTATATACTCTTTTTGTGAAGAAAAAGTACATACTTTTGAGTGTGTAGCAGAATAGTTGGCAAGCTTTGGGACATACTACTTTGTCATAACTGCTTCTTTAACCCTCTGGCCCTCTTCGTTTAGGAGTCACACTTGCCTCCTTCGTGGTTTTTTTATTTACTTATTTATTTACTATTATTTAATAAATGCAATATTTCACATTAAAATAGAGTGAATCCATTTTTTGAAGTGAGAATTTTTCCATCTGGAGGCATTAAAAAATTAAAACTTGTGTAACCTCTTGTATTAGCACCCTATACAGATATATACAGAGGCTTTTGGGTTCCCGTTGTTTTTTATATATAATTTCTTCATTTTTTTAGGTTTTGCATTTAGATATAGATCTAGACATTCTAAAAGACTACTTTTTGTCAAGGTTTAGATATTTTTGGTTAGATAAGTATCAGGTTTTACATTATGATTACAGTCAAACATTAAAATCTTGTTAGAAAGGGAACACATAGAAAGCATTTTTGTTACTCACTATTTGAGAATTAAAAAATCTAACAAAATAAGGAATGAATAGTGATAATTCAAAACACTGTATACAAACATTTTGTAATTAATTGATATTTTTTTCAATGTAATTCAATAAATGTTAATAAAACTTCAGACCAGAAATTAACATAATGATGCATTTAAAAGTTAATGACCAAACGTATCATTATAAAAGTTCACAATGTTGCTGCAGATGAAATAACACGCATAACATTAAATAAACATTTTTAATCAGGTTAGACATTGACTGTTTATCACTCAAACCCCTTTCTCTGCCTGTCAGTCGGTCTCGCATATCCGCCATGTTTGTAGTTTTTTAACACTTTTTATGCGTGTTTGAAGTTCTAATCGAATCCTCTCCACCGTGCAATGTGTTGTGGGCTTTTGTTACTCACTATTTGAGAATTTAAAAATCTAACAAAATAAGGAATGAATAGTGATAATTCAAAACACTTTATACAAACATTTTGTAATTAATTGATATTTTTTTCAATGTAATTCAATAAATGTTAATAAAACTTCAGACCAGAAATTAACATAATGATGCATTTAAAAGTTAATGACCAAACGTATCATTATAAAAGTTCACAATGTTGCTGCAGATGAAATATAACGTGCATAACATTAAATAAATATTTTTAATCAGGTTAGACATTGATTATTTATCACTCAAACCCCTTTCTCTGTTTGTCTCGCATATCCGCCATGTTTGTAATTTTTAAACACTTTTTATGCGCGTTTGTAGTTCTAAACGAATCCTGGTCCACTGCGCAATGTGTTGTGGGCAATATTAGCCGTTAGAGTGTGCATCGATCTGCACTTCGAATTCTAACCGGAAGTACGAATTTTAATCTTAAGTAGTAGACCATCCGGGAATCTTTGGCATACTCTTTTCAGAATACTATGATTTGGGACATACTAATTCTATTTTCGAATTCTATTTAGGATGGATAGTATGCGAATTGGGACGCAGCAATTGTTCCATCAAGCGGAAAATGTTACTAACAACGTTTCCTGTTAGACACAAAAGTCTGGCCCAGTAAAAATTTAAATGTTAAAATGTTTCTTTTTATTCAATTATTAATTTCTTTTTTTATTAATTTATTAATTTATTTAAATTTTTACAATTTTAGATTTAAAATTTTGGATATTTATTTGGATGTTTTTGGATATTTAACTTAAAATTTAAAATATTTTTAAAATACAAAACGGTAAAAGTTAGAAACTAGATATCTGAAATATTTGGGAACTTCAAAGCAGTGTTATTTTAGTATCATTGACATACTATTTTAGTTTTATTAATTTTTTAATTAGTTTTTATTTTTATAATCTCCATTGGCATTTTATTTTGTTAAACATTTAGTAATTTTGTGTATATATATATATATATATATAGGCCTATAATTCATTGTAGACCTTAAAAGACCGTTTTTTAAAACATTTTAATTGAGTAGGCTAAATATGTTATGTTATCCTCGCAGTGCTTCAGTTATGTGGTAATATTGCAGGGCAAATTAACTGTAATTTTAATTTAATAATAAAAGTAACTTCATAATAATAATAATAGGCCTAGTAAAAATAAGAATGTAACAGGCCTACATTAATTGGAAATGCCAAATATCTTAATATTGCCAATAATTGATATTGATATGACAATATCTCTGGCTATCGGTTCAGTACAAATACGTGTATCGTTACACCCCTAATATATATATATATATAAAGAGAAGGATATTTCAATATATGTTTTATTTTAGTTAAAATTTATTTTTAGTAGTTGTTTATGTGTGAAAATATGTTGTTTTCATTAATGTTCAATTTTGTTTTTGTTATTTTCATTAGTATTTTACTAATTTTGTTGCGTTTTTTTGTCATTTTTAGTAATTTTTTTTTTAAATCTGTATATATATATATATACACAGGGTTGCGGAGTAACGGAATACATGTAAAGGCGTTACGTAATCAGGATACAAAAATCTAGCTACAGTTACATCAAAAAACAAAGTATTCAGATTACAGTTACATTTTGTAAAAAGTGGGAATACTATCAGGATTACATTGGTTTAATTTAAAATTAAATAGATGAGTATTTTGACATAACACTATATATTTAGCGCTGCTTCATCATACAGTAGTTATTGGTTCTGTTGACACCCGTCTACAATTATTCTCCTTAAACGCGGGATGAGACGCTTGCTACAGTAAATTAATTACGATGCTTCCTGCTGGGAAAAGCGTTTTCGTGTCTGGAAATTTCACAGTTATTTTGTTTTCAAAGAGGATGAAGGAAATAACAGTTGTACAGCGTAAGCTATGCATGAAGACTCTTGCTTTAACAAAGGCTACTCAACCAACTTGAACATTTGCAGGTACGACTAGCATGCAAATCATCATGTTAGCTAAAATGTAGTGTTTGTTAGGGATTTAAAATTCCATGGTGTGCATGACTGCAGTTGTAAGTTTTCTAGCGAAAAATGAGCCTGAAAATATACACACCCCGGATCAGTCAATGAAATACAGAAAGATCATTGCATTCCGACATGTAGGCTTATTTTAAAATAGACTATATATATATGATGTAAATTTTTTAATGTTGTGTATAAACTATATTTATTTTTACTTGTACACATTGTTATAAATATACGGGCTGTAATATCTAGATGGTGAAACAAGACACGATTTTTAATAGTTTCAAATAGTTTTTATTAGTTTTAATTTTAAAGTAATAGTTAAATAAATCATCCTTTTTATAACTAATAGTTAAATAAATCAGCTTTTTTTTACTTATTTACATATGTAACTTAAAGTAATCCAAAAGTAATCAGATTACATTACTTTTATGTTGTGGTACTTGGATTAAGTTACTGAATACTTTTTAAATGAAGTAATTTGTAACTGTAACGGAATACATTTTTAAAAGTAACCCTCACAACCCTGTAGATATATATATATATATATTCATTAATTGGCCACAAAGTGTATCCATCGTATCTGACCTATTAAAATTCTGACCAATTCTGAGCATCTAAGCTCTGCACATTGTTTTGTTGCATACTGCTGTTCCAGCTGCTTACGTTCGTTGTGTGCTGTGCTCCCTCAGGTCCTGTAGACGAGTACATGCTGCCGTTTGAGGAGGAGATCGGCCAGCATCCATCTCTGGAGGATCTTCAGGATCTGGTGGTTCATAAGAAGATGAGGCCTGCGTTTAAAGACTGCTGGCTCAAGCATTCAGTGAGTGACGTGCTTCCAAACCCATAACACACTTGATTCTTGGACTACATTCTTAAGACTAATTTTCAAAGAATATTTTATTCTCCCCAAAAATGTAAACTAGATGCATAAAATTAACTTTAAATTCCAGAGTAAAGGCACATCCATTACCTTAACATTGACACTAGCTTTACAAATAAGCCTTATATTTATAAAAAATTAAAATAAAAAAATAAATCAGTTAATTATTTACACAATTTAAAAAAAGCTTGCTTCCTGATTTAGTTGTCTAACAAACCTGACATTATATATTACGAATATTGTTGCCTCTTTGTCGATTTGTTAAATTCCTCTTTTGTAAGTTACTTTGGATAAAAGTGTCTGCTAAATGCATAAATATAAATTTATTTTTTAGTTAATTATTATTTATATTTATTAGGGTGAAAATTGTTGTGATTGTCAGCATTGTCTGACAACTAAACCAAAAATGTGACCCAGTAAAAATTAAATACTTTTTTAAAATTTAGATTTAAAATTGAATTCTCTTAATTTAATAGGTTTAAATTTAAGATTTAAAAAATTAAACATTTCAATGTTAAAATATCAAAGCTAAACTAGAAGTCTAAAATATTAGGGAACTTCAAAGTAGTGCTATTTTAGTATAATTGAGATACTATTATAGTTTTTAATAATATTTTGAAACTGTTTTTATATTTAACAATTTCAGTTCATTTCATATTTAACATTTCAGTTTGTTATATACTTTTAGTAGTATGTTATATATTAGGGATGTTCATTTCGGTTATTTTTCCTAACCGACAAACGACGCTTGTTAACCGATTGTTAACCGTTAACCGACAAGATTATTTTAAATTAGAATTGAATTAAATTAGAAAGGATAATTGTCTGTGACCCGTTAAAAAAATAGTAACATTTGTTTCCCGGGGATTAATTAAAGCAAACAACAGAACATGAGGATTCACATGCATCACATCACGCACCTGCAGCGCTTCTGCGAGCGGAGAACAACATCATAAAGCTAGGATATATAACGAATAAACAGGCCTATACGAGAAACATATTTTACTTAATAAATTAAGAAAATGAAAGAAAAACTGTGCAAAAGTAGCCTAGTATGCAGAGTTTCGGTTCATTTTTGTGCTGCGTGAAAGGAAACCAAGACGGCAGAAAGCGGCATCCTATTTCTCTTTAGGCTTATTTTACAAAAGCACAAGATTTGTTTTTATTGTGAATGTACACAAATAAAGGCAAACCTT